TTTATAAGGAGCCAGAAGGTGGCAGCAGTTCAACACAGTTTTATAGAGCCATTACACTACCAAGTAAGTTTAATTTGTGAGTTTACAATTGCTAATTTTTGAGAAATTTCAGTTGAAAGTGTGCTTAGGAAGTAGAAAATATTTTAGAAAAGCACAAAAAGTGTGTTTAAAGTTTTATTCTAGATCATCATTATTTTATATCATATTATACCTCATTTTAAGGTATTTATCCAGTTTCTTAAAACTTAGGGTATTCTTTTTTTTTAACGTTTATTTTATTTGTTTTTGTTTTTTTATGTGGTGCTTTTATTTATTTTTTTTTAATGTGGTGTTTTATTTTTTTTATGTGGTGCCTCATGCGTACTAGGCAAGCGCTGTACCTCTGAGCCACAACCCTGGCCCCGGGGTATTATTTCTGTTATAATTTTTTCCCATTTAATTGGAAAACTATATTGTTTCTGCTGCTAAAGAAGAATGTCATCTTATTTTGTATGTTTAAGATCTAGAGGACAGTTGCTGGATTTCATTTGTAAGTATATTTGTGAGGTTGTGTCTTGAAGTGAAAAGTTACAGTTACTTGTTAGTCCAGCTCCTTGCATGACAGTATGTTCATCTCTAGACTTGAATCTCAGCTTATTTTCAATAGTTGAGCTGATTGACAAGTAGATAGTTATTTCCGTAGTTAAAGATAAAAATCAAAGGTAAATTCTTAGAACTATGTGTGTTTAATACATTATTGAAAGCATCATTTTACATCCAAACATTAATTGAACTGCAGTTGGTTAGAAATACCTATTCTTAAAGCTTTAGTGAAAAAATAAAGAAGGAAGAAGATGACCATCTTCCAAATGAAGTTAATGGTTATTAATGATGAAAGATTTTCTTCAGAAAAAGATCACTTCCTTTTAAAAAAGCAAAATATTAAATGTCAATACCTAATAATACTGGTAAATGGCATCTCTACTTAATTTTGATTGACCATTGTTTTAAATTTGAGTGTCTTTTTCCTGTAGATGTGTATATATTAGAAAAACAATGGTGTGCAGCATCACATGTCTGTAATTCCAGGAATTTGGGGGCTGAGGGTGCAAGATTGCAAGTTCAAGGTTAGCCTTAGCAATTTAATAAGATTCTGTCTCAAAATAAAAAATTAAAAAAAAAATTTAAAAGGGGTGGGGGAAAAAGCTCAGTGTAAAGCACCTCTGGCTTCAGTCCTCAGTACCAGAAAAAGAAAAAAAAAAAAAAACAGTTCCTTAGTTGAAGCTTCACTGCATATAACTGTAAGAGGGCTCCAAACTCCAGTTTAGAAATGTTTTTCATAAACATATAACTTAGGTATTGATATTTATTTATAATGTAGTTTACATACAATCCCTGGAAGCTTTAATTTTTGTATTACACCTTATTGACTCAGGAATCTTAATTAAAAATACTATATAATATCCTTAGGAAAAACTGAGTATATGGTAGTTGTAGTCAAAGTGGGGTTTTGGTAGGGGAGAGGAGGGAGGGTAGGGGTGTTCGAGAAATTGTTGCGATCTGAAGTATTATTTGTTTAGAAAAAGGTTGGAAATGGCTTATTTTCTAGTATATGTCAAATAAGGGAAAGCCTATCAATTAGTAAAACTGTCCGTGAAGGTTATTCAGAGATAATTTAATGCTTTAGTATAGGACTTATTGAAGAAAAAGTTTCATTGCTTATAGTCCAGTCAAAATTAAATTGTACTCTGAGAATTAAATTTCAAACATCATGAACATTTATGCAGCTTACACTGTATCATTTAACTCAAGTAAGAGAGGTACTGTTTTCTTTGTATTTTAAGTTCATTAATTTTGGTTTCACATTTATATGCTTAGCATCTTAATTATTCTATTGAATATTGTATCACTTTATCTGATAATTAGACTTCTACCAACCTCAGTCATGTGTAACCATGTATTTAAAAGAACATGACTTAAAACAACAGTGTATGAAATGGAGAAAAGGAGTGATTTAAGGAGTTTAGACCTACATTTCCCCTGATAACATTTCACTAGTTTAGATAAAGAGAGGGTCATATAGTGGACCACTGGAAAACTTTATTTTGAAACACCCATTTTAAGGAAAGATTCCCATTATATTTTATTTTAATATCTTTTAAATTATGTATATCACTCATAAATTGGCCAGTATAAACAAAAAAGGAAAACCAAAAGTAATGTGTTTGAAGTAAAAGGGAATTTGCCTTCACCTTCATTTCCCCTAGTACCAGGCATGCTCTCATCTCATTTTCCTTCCTAATAGAAAACACTATTAAACAGATTGGCATGTGTCTTGTCTGTGTCTTACTGTGTGCTGACATACCACAACTTTTGTTCCGGCATATATGGGTTTATGTTATACATATTCTGTGTGCTTTTTCTTTTCTTTTTTTGGGGGGGGAGGGTGGGGTGGTATCTTTTTGATCTTTTTTTATGTGTATGTGTCAGTAATGTAAATCAACCTCAGGATATTTAACAATTATATGAAATTCCATAGGGCGGATGTTCATTTCCCTGCCAATGCTCTCCAAAGACATCAGGCACAGACCTGTGTTTGAACAAATTGGATTTATTGCTTTTTGCATTAAGGAAGAGTATACACCATGGAGAATCACAGGGTATCTTGGAGGATTTAGAAATGATAATATTAAAGGATTGGGCTCATGTTAGGTGATTTGTCGGGAGGATTTAAGAAAGTATTTGCATTGGATACTGTGAGGAAACTGGATAATTCTATTATGGGTATCTTAATAAGTCTCATCTAGAAGGAGGAAAGACTAGACTGAAGTGCAGGATGTAATTAGTAAAGAAGCTGCAGTTGCTCACACTGGCCTGGATTGAGTGTCATATTTGAAGTTTTGACAATATTAATGTTTTATCTGTATTCACATATCATTATGGAGTGATGCTATTTTGTCAGTATCACAGTGGCCTTGTCTGATATTTATATTCTGTGAAACTGTTTATGTTCAAAAGGAGAACAATGCTGTTAATGCCAGGATAATTTACAGTAAAACCAAAGCCTGGCTGATGGTACCAGTGCCACAATGACAGGGGAGCTGCTTTTTTCCTCTTCCCTTTATTAATGATCAGCAAGGTTATTTCCTACTTATTATCAGCACAAGTTTTCATTTATAGTGTTAAATGGTGAACATTTTTATTACATGAGGTGTGAGGAAACATTAAGTTGAATTGTTTCTGAAAAGTTTAGTCTCAATACCATTTGTTTTTCTCATTTTGTAGAATACAGCATTGTATTCTAAATGCTGACATAAGCATGAACATATGGCAAAATTTTTCTTACTTGACCTTCACTTAACTGACTGACTGGATTAACTGGTATTCTATTCTAAACTCCCTCTGTTAAAAGTAGGGGCTAGAGACTACAGAAAGCTTAAAGTTTACTATTAATATATGCTACTCAGCATTATGCTAATACAATTCAGTTTTTTACTAGTTAAGTTTTACATCACAAATACTCAGATGTAATGTTTCTAAAAACTATTCATGCCAGCTGTGCTTGCTATATTTTATATTTATGATTTTATTTGGTATTATGCAAATCAGTAAAATATGAGGAGGGAAAGGAAATAAAGGTACTGTTTCAAAGGAAAATAAAAAGAAACAGTGAGTCAACAAAAAAACTTGTGGCTTGTGTATAGGGCTTGTATTTTATTAGTATGTACATCTGAATAGTTCTAGGAGTACTCTTGTCCTATGGTAAAATCTCTTAACTGACAACTAAAACTTTAATAACAACAAAAAATTTGTTGAATTGAATACTGAAAGGAAGCTTATTTCCAGAATAGTAAGCCATTTTATGTATTTTCTTGTAAAACATTTTAATGATGCAACGTATCTTATATCTTAAAATTATAAGGACACAGGCACAATTGAGAATTTGTTAACAAAAAACTGAGTTGGTGATAGTTTAAATGCAGTGTTTCATACTGCAGGCTAGTATCTGTATGATATTTCTAATTAGTGAATTAAAAAACTGGTAACTCTAAAGCTAAAAGAAAGAAAACTAGACTTCTGCATTGTGTTATTTATTACTGAGAAACAATTTCAGAACTTAGTGACTTGGAACAATAAGCATCTCACAGTTTGTGTGGTCAGAAATCTGGGAGTGCTTTCAGTGGAGTGGTATGGTTGAAGCTTTCTCATTAGGTTATGATGTCAGCCATGGATACAGTCGTTTGAAAGCTTGATTAGGTCTGAAGGATACATTTCCAAAATGATTCATTCATATGGTGCCGGTTATTGGTAGGAGCCTCAGTTCTTCCCTATGATGTTCTTTCCATGGACTATTTAATCATCTTTATGGTTTGGTAGCTAGCCTCCCTTACAGTGTCAATCCAAGAAAAAGAATGAGACAGAAGATGTAAAGTGTTTGATGATCCAGCCCTAGATGTCACATACTATCCATCCCATCTACTTTATTTTATTTGTTTGAAGGGAATCAGTAGCTGAAAAAGTCATTTGGGGCCTGAAATTGAGGGACCTCAGGTGATAACTTCCTTTAAGTCAAATAGTTACTCAGGACTCCCATGTTAAAGCTGTATTTTCCTCACTTCAGTGATTCTAGTACTGCATTAGATTTTTTTGGCATGGGTGTGTCCTATGAGTCATAAACAGTATTTTTCTTTAAATCCACTCACTTTAAAAATTTTTTAAACTTAAAAACATATTTAATAAAAAATGTGGTATTGCAATTTGAATATGCTAACTCAATGTTTTATAATATATCTTAATTGCATAAAAGTTTCAATAATAAATGTTTCTTTGTGCTACATATAATCTCTTAAACTCCTCCCCTCCCCCCAAAAAGTGATTAGTAGTATATCTTAAACTTAAAGGGAAGGCAGTTAGATCAGACTCTTGAATAAGAGAAAAATTACTACACTGCAGATGTTTATTTTGTGCATGTATGATTCAGGGAAGAGGAAAGGGTTCACTTATGTTTGACTTTTTTTTAGGATACTGCCTTAGGAAAACCACGAGAGGTGTTTCGACTACCTACAGATTTGACGGCATGCGATAATCGCCTTTGTGCATCTATCCATTTCACATCATCCACCTGGGTTACCTTGTCAGATGGAACTGGAAGATTATATGTTATTGGAACAGGTGAACGTGGAAATAGTGCTTCTGAAAAATGGGAGGTGAGGTTTTTTTTTTAAAGACTTTCAAAGTCCAGAAAGTATATGCAAATTAGACCTTATTTATTTTAAAAGAATACTTTTCAAGGAGAGCTTATAGGTGATCTCTTGGTTTTTTTAATATAAAGTCTTGTGTCTCTTTTTAAGTAAATTATAACATACATATACTTTGTGTTTAACTGATAGGTTAGTTGTTTGTTTTCATCTAGGGTCAGTATACTTGTCAAGATTTGCATTTATTTTTCAGCAAATATTTCTTGAGTGTTTTGTATGTATTAAAGCACTGCACTAAGCATTGACATTGTCGCCTCCTTGAAACAGAGTTGAAAAAGCTTATATTGAAATGTTTTTCTCCTCTACCTTCATGTTAAATTTGCTGATATGTTTACACTGGTTAAATAGTTTAACTATTCCCTACTTAGAAAAATACATAGTAATATAAATATGCTTATGTACTAATCTCTAAGATGCCATTTTTCTTTCAATGTTAAAAAATGAAGCAGATCTAAATGTGAGAGGTAGATTAAGATTTTAATGGCAATAAGACAGAATCAATTTTTCCAATGCCTGTTTTTGAAAATGGAAGAAAATGATTTGGGGTAGATAATCAAATGATTTATTGCTTCAATTCCTTTGAATTCCACTAATTGGTATAATATTGCCACTGTCTAAATCTTAGCAGATAGCCTTTAGTTTCAGGTAAATAAAGAGATAAAAGTTTAATATATTTACATGTTATAAAATATCTTTATCAGATCAACGATACATATTAACATCAGACCTTAATTATTTGAGAAAAACCTGGGAGGTTTTCAAACTAAATGACTTACCTATCTTACTAAGTTTTTACTGAATGGTATATTACCAAATTATAGTATGTCTGAAAAACTAAACAAAAACATCATCAATAGTCTATTTATAAGAGACTGTTGCATTCACAGTTTCATATTCATTGGACATTGTGACATTTTCTACTCTAACCTTCAGTAAAAGCTTAAACAAATGAGTTATTGTGTGTTATAGCTATCATTAACTGAAACATTTGGAGTTTTGAGAATGATGGTCAAGAGATAAAAATGAGAATTATTATTGAGTTTTGTAGATTAAGTTGGTTTTAAGCAGGAAGAGACAAGAGGACTCAGTTCACTCTCAACTTATTTTTTAAGAATATTCTATTCCACAGATTCTGCTGGAAGGAGATGCACATAGATTTATAATTCTTTTGATTTTTGCTGTGTGTGTCCCCTTGAAACATATTAGGCCTTTAAAATATGTTTTAATTCATTAAAAACTGAAATCTGTCTTATGCCCTTTTTAGTATACACTGCTATAATAAAAAAAGAACCCTTCTGAGATGTTGTCTGTTAATAATTATAGCTTTGTCTAGATAATGGGGGAAGTGAGAGAAGAATGGGACTTGGACATCAATTAAAGTGAGAAAGCTACGGAATATATTAGTTACAATAATTTAAGAGAGTTTTAGGACTTTGGGGCAATTAGTGTGACAAAAAAAAAAAAAAAGCTAAGAGTAAAAGTGATTAAAGGGCATGATAGGGCACAAGGGGGCCAAGGGTGGTGGTGATGACTAGGGTATAGAAAGAAATTAAAAGATATGGAAGACTGCGTACTTTCCAAATAATATTATGAGGGTGGTAGATCAGAATAGTGTTACAGTTGAGATGCTGGTCTTGTTCAGAAGATTAAAAACCTCAGCCTAGCAACTTTAGTCATCTGTTTCTTTTTACTCTTTCTAGTTCCTACCACTTGTAAGAGAAAGAAAAAAAAAAGGAAAAACTAGCTGCTTATACCTCCTAAAACGTCATTTTTCGCTTCTTGCCTTTAGCTTCCATTGTCCTGCAAATGAGTTAAATTCAGTCAGCCAACTCAAAATTTATCTTCATAGGTTGTCTCAGTTTTGAGTATCTGAGGGCTTATTGTTGTTGTTGTTTCTGCTTTTGAAAATTGTTAGATGAATTCCAAAGACTTACTATTGAATACTTTTGGCAGAAGTGCTCAAACATATAGGGAAATAGATAACAGCTCACTTTTCTTTATAGAGATTTTAAGTAGAAAAAATTTGCAGGGACTCCAGGTACAGATTTCAAAAGAAAAAAGCTAACTTTTTCTTCTGTTTTTTTTTTTTTTTTTTTTTTTTTTAATTTTTCTCCAACTGCAACTTTTCAGAAATCTTGTTTAGAAATCAGTCTTAAAACTCTCCTTTTTAGTGTTTACTCTAAGAGGTAGATTGTCTTTTAGAGCACGCATTTATGGTATAAAAAAGATTTTAATAGGATTTTGTGCGGCTTTAAATTTGTTTGGGGAAGGGAGAACAACATCAAGAATACATTTTAAATAGAGTTTGTTGAATTATCTTTTAAGTGTAAATGGGCTCTTTGGTTTTGAGATTAAACTTTACTGATTTATTCTCTGATGACTTTTATCTTTGTGAACTTCCAGAAAATAAACAGAAATACAAATAAATAAATAATAGGTATAAAGCATACATGCACATACATGCATACTGCACACAGAATGCAGAAACAAAGAGTAAGAAAGCAGAAATAAGTCATACATGATAAAAGGGAAGAGAATAGGAGTGAATATTGACTTGCCTGTGGTCTTTTTATGTAGAGCACTTTTACCCTGTGTAATTCTCCTTTAGGAGATTGCTTTTAGTTCTCTTTCTCCTTTAAATACTGTGTAGATGCCCTGTTATTTTCTTTAAAGCCAAGAGTATTGATCAGTTTTCTATTATACAAATCGCGTTAGTGTGTATGCGCGTGTGCATGCATGCACAAGTTTTTTCTTCAAGGAACATTATTTAAATTTGCTTTTTTATTTTTTAATTCTTCCTAATAAATAGTACACAAAATAGTTGTTGGATTGTCACCACTTTTATGTATTCCCTCTGTGCTATGCTTGTACAATATATACATTTTCATGGTGTTTTTTTTTTTGGTAGATTATGTTTAATGAAGAGCTTGGGGATCCTTTTATCATAATTCACAGTATCTCTTTGCTAAAAGCTGAAGAACATTCCATAGCTATCTTAATTCTTCGAATAGAGAAAGAAGAATTGGATATGAAAGGAAGTGGTTTCTATGTTTCTCTGGAGTGGGTCACTATCAGTAAGAAAAATAAAGGTAAAATAAAATAAAATTCTGAATCTCTCTATAGTGATTCCCATCAGTATGTTTTGAAATGCAAAGCTGTCCCTGTAAATGCTGCTTTGTTTTTCCTGGGCACTATTGATTCTAGCACCTGCCACCACAGGTGGGTTGGATATCTGTAGATAGTTTCTCCTCAGGTATGAATCAGTTATGAGTTAATAAAATAAATAAATAAATAATGTGCTTTCATAGCTAGTTATGCCTTTGTATAAAAGGAGACATTATTACAAGACATTACTACATAATTCTTGAAAATTTTTAACATGTATATTTTTAATATTGCTAAGAATTACAGTTTTATGCTACTGTGTTTCTCCAGAGATGAACCAAAAATGCTGGGAAGCACAAATCTGTTACATTAACTACTTCAAATTTATTCATCTTATTTATATAAATTTTCATATCTGTAGCCGTACAGATATATCTTGTGGTAGTTATTCATTTTGGAATGAATAGCCTTCCTATAAAATATATAGTGCCTAAATTTAGGTCATTAAAAGCAAGTAGGATTGCTTTTCTTACATGTACCTGTGAAGGATGTATAGATGTATAATTTTTTAGTTAATTCATGAAACTATAAGCCTGTTTTATATATGTGTGAATTGAATGTATGAATATAGGAGAGGATGCAACCCATATTAATAGAGTAAATGGTATAAGTAAAGATATGGGCTCAAATGAAATGTCTGAGTATTTTTTAAAACAAACAACAAAAAAAACCCTATCTTCATAGAATAATAAATTTAGTTAATTTACAAAAAGCTTTTGGGATATGGTTGTTTATATGTTAAAAGTGTTTTTTTATATTTGGTTATTAGTAATCTAGATCTCTTTATGTGTAGAAATAATTTCTACTGTAAGCATATTTTATTTTAAGAAACCCCCTTACCAGCAGTTAGAACAGACAGAAAAATAGTCCCCACCACACTTTTTCCCTTATCCTCAATTTGTGGCTCTTTTCAGAAGATGCCTATCATATACCTGCTGGGAAAATAGACAGACTATAGTCAAGGAGAAGGTAGAACCTTCAGAAGCTGATATTCTAGGTAAGTTAGTCACTTTGAAGGCCAGATCTTTGCTGTCCAATAGGAACTTCTATGAGATGGACATGTTTCATATGTGCACCATTCACTACCATAGGTACTATGATGTAACTATTGAGAAGTTGGAAAGCCAGTGTAACTGAGGAATTGGATTTTAAACTTAATTTTAATTAATTGCTTGTGGCTGGTGGCTACTGCCACCAGCCACAATTGGACAGAACAATCTAAGAGAAAATTGCATCAGATCCAGTATTTTTAAATAATCATTGAAGATAATGAGGTTATGAATATTTTATTCTTACACAAAGATTATTAATGTGAATTGTAATAATAATATTTAGAATATTTAATTTAAAATTAACATGTTTTCAGATTATTTTTATTATCCATTTTTGTAATGTTTTGTTCTAATGTATTTAATTTTATTATAGATGGTAAAAAGTATGAAATTACTAAGCGTGATATTCTCCGTGGAAAATCGGTGCCAAATTATGCTGCTATTGAGCCAAATGGAAATGGTCTAATGATTGTCTCCTACAAGTCCTTCAAATTTGTTCAGGTTGATCAAGATCTTGAAGAAAAGATGAATGAAGACATGTCAGAGAAAATCCAAGGTGATTTTATGTTTAATCTTTATAAAGCTGTGTGTATTCCTATACATAAACATTTATGTCTGTTTTGTCTTTCCAGTTAGGTTATGGGTTCTACCAGGTGGGATAGATACGTAATTTTAATTTTCTTTTGTATTTCCCAAAAAAGACTTTTGTAAAATATACCACCTAAATAGTGGAAGCTATTTAAAATTTAATAATTTTGTGATTATCAAAGATTTTTTTTAAATCTCTCAGCTTACTTGATTGCATGTTTAATAAATATTTAAATAAGTTAATAAGCAAATTAATAACTGTTGGCATTTGAAAAACCTGTATGATGGTATTAAGAGTACTAATGTTTTAAAATGAGTTAAACTAATATGCATGTTCTTATCTTTCATACTAAACTGATAGAGTTGCTTGAGGGCAGAATCAAGATTTTCTCAAGGTTGAATGAATGAATAAAGGTCATATTTTAGAATGAAAAAATTAACGTCTTTAAGAAGAAATTTATATTTGTATACAAAGATACATATTATTTTAAAACTATTCAAAAACATCCCTTCATAATCACTGTTCATATTTCTGATGTTCACAGCCAGGGATGTAATTTACAAATATTTCCACCAGGTTTATTATGTATATACACACCTCTAAGTACAAAAAGTTATACTTGGCGCTTTAGTTAGCCTTTAAGCACCTTTGTTTCTTCATATATTATGTGGTTTTTGTTAGATTCTCTTCTGTCTTAATTATAATGTTAAACCCTCCTAAAACTTTTCCAGATTGACTGTTCATATCCGCATGCCCTCTAGAACTTCGTTGATGAGCAGTTGGGCAGGAAGGAAGAATGTCCTGGTCATTGGAACCATTATGCCAAATAGCTAGGACCATGTAGTTGAAGACATGTAGTAGGGAGGCATGTGATTGCCCAAGTGGAACACACCTTGTGTTTAAATCACTAATTACTAGTCCAGATATTGTTTTATTGTTGACTTCTTATATCTTGAATTCATTATTTTTTTACAGAATTTTCACAAAATAATTTTCAAAAGTTAGGAATTTTTTATTAATCAGCATGTTTAAACTTTTCTGAGTATACATACTAGTTTCATTTTCTGTAAATCTCAGAAAGACTGGTATTGTCTGTTGGCTATTTGGTATTGTCATACTAAAATCCTAAAACATAATTTCTAAAAGCACAGAAAAACTCTAAAAACAACCAACAATCAAGAAAATTTAGATGTTTGTCTGTTTTTGGTGAGGAACTCGAAAATTTTGACTTGCCCTTTAGTTTGTTTTCATGCCTCTTTATACTAAAAGTTCATGTAATTTTACAGACTCTTGCTATCTTCATTGTTTGGCTGAAGTCTTCCATTGGGTGATTATTAAATAAAAACTTCTTGGATAAACTTTTGAGGAAGACATATTTTATATTCTTTTCAAACAGGAATCCTGTGTGTGTGTGTGTGTGTGTGTGTGTGTGTGTGTGTGTGTGTAAGAGGGAAAAGGGGGGGGTGAGTATAGGGAGGTAGGTATGAAATGGGGATGAGGCATTGTTGTCCATTGTATTTTATGAATCCTTATTTCCTGAACAGTAGGTAAGACTGGAAGAGGAGAATGTCAAGTAAAATTGCTACAATTCTTTAAGGGAAAATTTCCCAAAGTCTATGTGGGTTCATTTATAATTACTTTTTTTTTGTGAGATAATCACTAGAAGATATGCTAAGATTCTTTTAGAGATGGATATTCTTTCTTATGTTCTAGTCTCTAATTTTGTATGTTGTCTTCCCTGTTTTTATTACATAATGCAGTATTCTTTTCTCAGTAGAACCTCTGTATTATTGGCAACAAACTGAAGATGATTTGACAGTGACAGTACGGCTTCCAGAAAACAGCGTTAAAGAAGATGTTCATGTGCAGTTTTTACCTGATCACATCAACATTATGCTGAGGGATTGCCAGTTATTGGAAGGAAAGCTGTATTCATCTATTGATCATGAAAGCAGTACATGGATAATTAAAGAGAATAATAGGTATATTTTTTTTAGTTTTATGTTTGAAATTTTACTTTTTTGTTATTTTTACTTTTTTCTTTTATTTTTACTCTTTCTACAGTTGTTATATCAAAGATGAATACAATAGTTCTGTTTGCATTTCTGATTTTTTTTAAATAAATTAAAAACAGATTTTTTACATCACACAGCATAATTATGGTTAAGATTAAAGATGCTAATGTAGTTATTGCTTGCAGTAGGTAGAAGTGTTTGTTATTACCAGCTCTGGGTACAGTAATAACACTAGGCAAAATGGTTATTTATTTTAATTTACACTCTTAAACTGTTAAATAGAAATCTTTTTTTTTTTTTCTGTTAAGCTTCATTTGCTTACTAAATAATACAACTACCATCCCTACTTTCCATCCAGAGATATTTCATGTTTTCTAACAACATACACATCTTTTTTTCTTTTTTTAAAAAAGTTTTTGACACATACTATGCACAATTTATACACCTTGCTTTTGTTCATTTTCAACAATAAATTGGGTTAAATATAATTCATCAAGCAGTAATCCAGGAAAGGTCTAGGGGAATAGCTGAATTTCATGCAAACAGTTTGAGTGTTCAACACATGAACATAGACCACTATTGTTTTTTCAGTAAATTTGAGGTTTTTGGTTATGATTTTGTGTTACAAAAGATAATTACAATGAGGCGTAGGTGGTATTGTTGGCTTAAAAAAACATGATTTTCTGTGCTTGATTAAATTGTTCATCTCTCTCATTTTCCAGTAGTTAATGTTCTTTCTCACTTTGAAAGGGTTTGTTAACTAGTCTGTATCTTATTATGTATGTTTCTTTTTGCTTGGATAGTAGGATCTGATGCTGGTTTTAAAATGTAGGAACGCAGTCATGCTGAAAGGGCTATGTTGTTGAGGTGTGCAAATTAACAATGGTTCATTCTTCGTAACTAAGATTATGTGAGCTATTTTAAACATCTTGAGGTAGCAACTAAGAATGTGTTTATACATTCTGGTCACTGGGTAAAAGTTCTTAAAAGTTATTTACATGTATTTTTTCAGAGAGGCAGAATAGTTCAGTAGTGAAGAACATGGACTTGGAGCCAGGCTGCTTTACTAGCTTGTGACCTTGGCAAGTTATTTAATCTCCTTTAAGTTCTTTTTTCCCCCTTGCTTGTAAAATGAACATAATGGTACTTACTTAATTTGGCCGTGATGAGCAATAAGTGAATTAAAACATGCAAAGAGCTTAAGACGATGCATGGTATATGGTCAATGTTAGGTAAATGTAAACTGTCATTATTATCTTCATCATCAAGATTAGCCTTTTTTTGGTGTGGAGCGGACCAGTGATGGAACTTAGGGGCACTTGACCACTGAGCCACATCCCCAGCCCTATGTTGTATTTTATTTAGAGACAGGGTCTCACTGAGTTGCTTAGTGCCTTGCTTTTGTTGAGACTGGCTTTGAACTCATGATCTTCTTGCCTCAGCCTCCTAAGCCACTGGAGTACAAGAGTGCACCACTGTGCTTGGCTTAGCCTTTTACTTAGAAAATATAACTTCATCTGGGCATTGCTGATTATGGTAGTAATTTTCAATGCTAATGCTAGGATCTCCTATCTCTTAAAATAATTTTAGAAAATTTTAAAATGCTGTAATTAATTCATGAGGTGGTAATAATAATAGCCTTAAAAAAGAATGATAAGCTTACATGTTCTGTTTGATAATAAGTGTAATTGTATTTTTGAAATTGTTTGCTTGCATTTGTGTTCCACAGCATGGGTTAGTGTAGCACATGTACCAAAGATGTCACGTGGAAAAGGTCACTTTGCTGTGGAACAGCTCCTACCATCCCATTTTTTTTCTGTTGCAGCAACGGCTGCTCACAGAGCATCTTACTTGAATTTCTTCTCCTATTGCCAAGGATCAAAGGCCAGCTGCCTTCTGTGTCAAACATCTGCCCTGACTCAGCTCTTCCCTCTCCTGCATCATCAGTCCCTGATCTCAGGGTTCCCTAACAGACATTTTTTATTTTTATTTTTTATTTCTGTTTAATGGTTCAAATGTACAGAATTAGATTTTGAATAAGTTAATAGAGACTACATTAACATCTTTATTTCCCTGTATTACCAAAGTTGTTTTCCTAATTCCTACATTTCTTTTCAATTCTTTAAAATCTATACATTAAAATTAACATTTGCATTGATTTAACCAACCTGATAATTTAATTAATAGATACATATTAATGGTTATTAGTTTGTGAAAATAAAGTTACTTGTTGGTTTCAGATACCAAGAACTACCTTATGGTTGTAGGCTTTCCTTTATGTGCATCAACCCCCATTTACCATTATTTCATATCCATGCTACTTGTGCATTTTTTTGTACTTTAAGTACTTTAATTTTAACATTCTGCACACCTGGACAACCACAGTACTTTTTGAGTAGACTCATTTTTTGCAGTCACTCCCCTTTGAAAGCCAGCCATCATTCCAGTGGTATTTTCTTGTTTGTTTATTAAGTCTAAATTATTTGCCCTTGAATTATAGGTTTTATATTATATGCAAAGCTAAAATGAATAGGATTTTGGGTAACATACTTTCTGGATACCAGAGGAGTATTTCTGTAGAAGATTCTTCTGCTTGTTTTTGATAGTATAACTTGCATAGTTGTTTAATACCACTTTTCTCGTTTAAACTTTTAGCTTGGAGATTTTCTTGATTAAAAAGAATGAAGGATTGACATGGCCTGAGCTAGTGGTTGGTGATAAACAAGGGGAACTTATAAGGGACTCAGCCCAATGTGCTGCCATAGCTGAACGTTTGATGCATTTGACTTCTGAAGAACTGGTGAGCAGTTGCAGTAGTAGTGTGACTTTCCAAGAAACCAGAGTATGTTATGTGAGGATTGTCCCATGATTTTCAAATAGTATTTTGCTTTGACAAGTATAAAAGACATAGATTCAGTACTGTTGACCTGATTAATGTCTTAAAATGACTTAAGTTCTATTTCTTACATGGTGTGAATTCATATATGTGTGGGCATATTGTATAGGGGTGTGTGTGTATATATTTATGTATCTGCATATAGTCTCCTTTAGAAGAATTAACTAATAAATGCTGCCAGGAACAAATAATTATTTAACACTTTATGCTAATAATCTACTTACCATTGACATTTTCTAAGTAATCTTAGATTATCACAAGGATATATATGTAGATTATATATAGTATAGTTATTTTTGACAAAGTAAATTCTTGTAATGAGTACAATGACTAAGACAATACTTATTCAGCCATGGGGTTGAAAATGTTCCCATGCTAATTTGGACAGATACAGCAAAAAGTCAGTTATATATTCGTTTACCAAAAATTATATCAGTTTATGTAGAATGTCTGCTTTATTGCCATCTTGAATAATAATGATGAAGGCGGCTACATTAACAATTATCCTGTAGCCTTAGTTGCATCTTAAAGTAGAAAACAAAGTTTGGAATATTGAAAGTGAATGTCTTTGTCAAAAGGAAACATGACAAAAATAGAATTGGCCCCAATAATTGAAAATTTCAGCAAACACTGGAATTTATACGTAGACTACAAAACTTCAGTTTCATAGCTTTTTAACACAAGCCATGCAGGCTACAGAAATACTCCTCTGATATCCAGAGAATATGTTACCCAAAATCCTGTTCATTTTAGTTTTACATATGATAGAAAACCTAAAATTCAAGGGCAAATAATTTAGGTTTAATAAACAAACAAAAAAGTACCACTGGAATGATGCCCCAAACGGCTGGCTTTCAGAGGGAGTGACTGCATTCATTCGTTCAGCAAGTATTTATTGTGTATAATATTTCCAGGCTAATATTAATAAAAGACTTGTTTTGAAACAAGTGTTTCTTCTAACTACTTTTTAAACCTGATGGTTTCAAAGACATATTTGTATTTATGAGAAAGTTACGTATACATAGACATCATTATGTTTGTTACATTCTGAAAAGACAGTGCAGAATGAAAAGACAGTCCTGTCATCTGCAATTGAGAGCAGTTTTGTGTTTTTGAAATTTTCAAACTTACTTCATGTGGTGGCTATACTCTACTGTTAAATAGAATCATGAATGGTAAAAACAGACATTCCTATTATCATCTTTAGGAAAAGAGTATTTCACTATAAAGTGTGGTAGATTCTTTTTTATCAAATTAAAGAAATTTTCTTGTATTCATAGTGTACTGAGAATTTTTCTTCTGAATGGTTATAGAATTTTCAGTACTTGTGATAATACTTGTTTTGTTTTCTATTTGATATTTTTAATTTTCATATCTAGAGATTTGAATTCTTTTATATCTTCCATATGTCTACATGATTGTGTTTTCCTTTACATTTTTGAGTACATAGAACTTGTTTATAATAGCTGTTTTAATGTCCTTCTGTGCTGACTCCATCATTCTGTCATCTCTGTGGCTATTTTTATTGGTTATGTATTTGAAATTAGTTTTAATTATTGCTATAATCACAACATTTCTAAGGGTGAGTAAATGCATTTCCTTACTGTTGTTTTTGACTTATTTATTTCATTTTATGATCTAAGAATCCAAATCCAGATAAAGAAAAACCTCCTTGTAATGCTCAAGAGTTAGAAGAATGTGACATTTTTTTTGAAGAGAGTTCCAGTTTATGCAGATTTGATGGCAGTACATTAAAAACTACTCATGTGGTAAGTTCTTATAATAGTGTTTCAAAAATTTTCTAAATAAGTAGAGAAGTTACTCAGATGATAATTAAATGACCAAATAAGTATTTTGCAGAAGTAGCTTGATTATCAGTTAATGACTGTGCTTTTGAAGTTGTACCAAATATTTATGCTTAAATCCCATCATTCTATAAAGTAGCATTGTTCCACAACACTAAATCTAATAAAACAGCGTTTCATTTTTTTTGGTACTAAAGTGTGTTGATATTTTTCAATTGGCTTTTTTTCTGTACCAGTGTTTTATATACAGTTGTGACTCTATAATGCATAACTTTATATCTTCTTTTTTCATTGAACATTAGGACATAAACATTTCATGGTTTTTCTATCCCTTGTTAAATAGTTGGATTGTTTGTCCTATAATATTGTTGTTGGGAGGGTAGGTATATAACTTTTTAACTGCATTATTCATGAAGCTGCTAAAATAATTCCTTTGTTATATGAAGCTTTTCTATATTCATGAATATTTATCTAATGAAGAGTTAACAGAAATCAAATTCATGAATCATTGACTGAGTGACGAACTGAGTTCAGTTTTAATCTCATCAGTAATGTTTTTGGTTATTGCCTGTTTCTCTGCATCTTTACCTGCACCTTCAGTTTAGCTGTAGAGATGGTTCTCATAAAATCAACTCTAATCTGATCTTTACTAATTGGTATGCAAGACACAGCAGATTTTGTTTTAATATGAGTATTTTTTAAAACTGTTGACTGTTCATATATTAACTATTCTTTTGTGAGCAACTTTTTTATTTGACTTAGTGTTTCTTTGAATCATGTGGCCTGTTTTAAACTTAGAAAAATCCTTCTTTATCAATATTTATTTTTTTTCTTTTTTTCCCATTTTGGAATATTTTTATTATTCAACTCCTTAAATTGTGTTTTTTTCTTTCTTTCTGTCTTTGGTGTATCTCAAATATGTCACAAGTAAGTATTTTCCCTTGAGAATTACATTCTGTTTAAAAGCTTTGAGAATATTGCATCAGTACTACAGAATATTGCCTGGAGTGAGTCAGTACAATCACGATTTCAGCATTTGGTCGTCTGCTTTGATCTAGATTTTTAAGTTTTAAAACTTATGAGATATTTATGCTTAGGGGAATCTTGAGTCATTAGATCATACTACACACTCAAGTGTATATTACTGAGTTGATTTTGTGAGAACCATCTCTACAGCTAATCAGTGGCTGATTTGGAGCTACACATAAAGAAATTACTCTTATTACCAAATCTAGAAATGATGGGGCTTTAGGACACTCAGTCTAAGCAGAAGCAACAGAATCAAGGGAATAACTTGTACTTTTGTTATTCTGTTTTTAGAACTCTTTGAGTCTTTGTTATAGGGCTTAAAGGCTCAAATGTTAAGAAATGTTTGCCAGATTTGGTCTGTTGTCTCTATCTTATAGAGAATTGGGGGAAAGTGTATTTTAGCAGAATTCATGGAACCAATTAAAATAGGAACTTGATTTACTTAATCTAAATTTCCCCCACCTTTTTAGAGGTTAAAAGAAAATCTCTTAACTGTTCCTCTTATTTACTTTACCTCCCTTGTTGTTGTATTTGTTTTGGTTACTTAACAGTTGTCTTTAATGGCTGGGAATTATTCTCAAAATTGAGTTGTAAAATTGAGCATTTCTAGATCTTGCTTAGCAGTGGCACAGGACCAATGACTAGGCCAAGGTGCTATTGAAGCTATACCAAAATTAAGTATTGATTTTATAGTTAATTTTTATCCCTGCGTTGCTCTGCCTCCCATCACCCTATAACACTAGTAAGTTCTAAAAAGCATGTGGACAGCATCTTGCTCATCACAGGATCCCCAAAGTTTATGATTCACAAGTGTTTAATAAATATTTTTAGACTGATTTCTCGGTAGCAATCATGAAAATTTAAAAAAAAAAAAAAAAGCTTCAGGTCATCTTTGCTTTTAAGAAATTGACTTTTACCTTTCAGTCTGCCTTAATACTCAGTGACTCTTCTAACTGAAGAGTGAAGTGTTTGGGGGAATATGGTAATGACCAATCTGGGTACTGATGCAAAGCCAGATAATGAAAGCTGTTTAGATTTCCTAGGAATTTTGCTTCCTGGATGTTGTTTATTTCCAACATATTCCATAGATGATGCCCTTAATTGTGAGCAAATGAGGGCCATCACAGTTCTCTTCTCTTTAATGCCTAGGGTTAAATTTTATAAAATCCCTCTCAAGGTGTGACTTGATAGAAGATTCTTAATTCTGATTCATTGAACCTTATATGTTTTTGTAATGAAGAATCTGGCTTCTCCTCCTAGAGTTATAATCCTAAAAGCTGTAACTTCTAGTTATTATTTTTTGCCTAACTTTTATATGGAAAGCACCTGATCTTAGGTGTCATAATCTATTTTCTTTTAAGATTTCAACAATTTGTAATATGTATTTCAAAATACCAATCTTGCAAAGCTTGTGATACAGTGGGCTTAATTTTAAAACAAATTTTAAAACATTTTGGTATTTTTCAGCACCCCCAACAATTCAGGTATATAAGGTGATAAAATGCTCATATATTTTAAACTTGTAAAATGTGGACAATACTTTTTTTAATCTTGTTACTAGGGATTAAACCCAGAAATGCTTAATCACTGATCCACATCCCCAGCCCTTCATACTTTTCATTTTGAGACAGGTCCTTGCTAATTTGCTGAGACTGGCCTCAAACTTGGCTCTCCTCTGCCTCAGCTCCCAAATCACTGGGATTACCAGTGTGTACCACCACGCCTGGCTTCATACATGTTTAAGCATGTATGAAATGTTGACAGCTTCCATTTTGTACAGTATTCTTCATAGTATGTAAATATGGGTGTAAATTAAAATATGATTTAATAATATGGTGGTATGCTTTATTTTTAATAAAATGAAGTTGTACTATAAAATAGACTCAATAAAATATAAAGTTAGGTTCTCTGTGAATTTTAATTCATTTTAGTACTGCTAAATAGTATTCATTACTAGTTTAATGTTATGTTGGTTACTGAGAGACCTCCAATTAATCTCATTTCCTGTGTTCGATCATGTTACTTAAAACCAAGGAGTCACAGAGAACCAAAATAAAACCTTTATTGATGAGCAATTATAATACAAGGCTTAGTAGATCTTCTCACTGTACCCTGGAATTTAGCAGCTTTCACCATAATTACACAATGCCAAACCAACTCTTACTGCCCCAGGAGTTGTCCCTGGAGGGCCCTCAAGTGCCTTAGAGGAAAAAGTAATAGAATTGAGCAGAACATGCCCAGATTTTTTCCAACCAGTTGTGATTTCACTTCTTGAGGATTTATAAAAGCTAGATTATTATCAGTAGCTAATCTGCTGAGTGTCATGTGGAAACATCAAAAGTTTGGAAGAAGTATAAATATATAATAAACAAAGACAGTCCTTCCAACCTTGAAAAAACCTTGGGTTTGTAGAAGTAGCTGTATTTAATCTCCATTTTATAGATATATTAGGCCAAGCTGAGATGAAGTTTATATGAGATTACTCATAGAACCAATATTAGAAGCTAAACTATGGGCTTCCAATATGTTTTGCTATAATTTTCCCTAAACACTGGTATCATAACTTTGAAAATTGGAAATCCTAAGCTACTATATTCAGTACCTACTTTTGAATAAAATGTGATCTGAATTTGAAATGTGAATGATAGACTTCTGTGATAAACAGGTTATGTTTTCAGAAAATTCAGAGATTATACAGTCCCTCATTACACCATAACTCTCAGAGACAAAGTTTGATGAAACCTTTCTTGTATTCTGTACATACTTAGAAATTTTTTAATCACAGTTAAATCTGGTTTCATTTGCTAGAGCTGCCTTAGCAAAGTATCATTAACTGGGTGGCTTAAACTATTGTATACTACAGGTCTGAGATCAAGGTGTTAGAAGTGTTAGTTTCTTCTAAAGACTCCCTCAATGGCATGGTTTTCTCTCTGTTTCTGCATCCTAATCGCTTTAAAGGACAACAGACAATAGTCCTGTTGGATTAGGGTCTACCTAAATCACCTCATTTTAACTTTTTTAAGTTGCTATTCCAAACTACAGTCACATTCTCAGATAGTAGAGATTAGGAATTCCACATATGAATTTGAGGAGATAAAACTCAGTTCATTAACAGTTGTTAACGTTTTGCAAATTTTTTTTTCTTTTTTTTTTTTTTTTTACTTTTTTAAAGCAGAAACAGTAACAAGTTAAAGAAACTGTTCCCTTACCCATACTATTTCATATATATATATACTAAAACTGAAGGCCTTTTTTATGTAGTGATAATAAAATTAATGAAACTTAACATCAGTACACTTTTATCTAATATAGATTTAAACTTGAATTTTACCAATTGACCAAATAATGTTCTAAAGTAAAGTTTTTCCCCCTACACATGATCTAATCCTATGAACATACTGCATTTAATTGTTTTGTTGTTGTTGTTGTTTGTACCAGGGATTGAATCTAGGGTGCTTAACCACTGAGCCACATCCCAGCCCTGAGATAGGGCCTTGCTATTTTATTTTGTGCCTTTTATGTCTTGTTTTGAATTTTTTCCTCATCAGATTCAGTGCATTTTTTCCCCAAAATACTATGCATTATGCAAGTGATTGTTTCTTTCCCAGTGTATCACATTAGGAGGATCTTGGCATCACTTTCTCCTGTTTTGTGTTGTAAAATTTGATTAGAGTAAAAAAAACTTGGTAGCTATCACTTAAAGTTATTATCTTCTCCTTTGAATTAATAAAAAGTACTCGGTGTGAAGATCAGAGTAACCCTTTTGAAGGGTTAAGTAGATAATGTCATTTTCCTATTCTCATCTTCCCTGTAGTGGGTTCCTGTATAGGAAATAATGACTAGTGTCTTTACCATGGTCTTACAAGCAGTCTTCAAATTTTGACTCACTCTGTGTTACATTTTAAATTGAGATTTAACACATGTACATCAGATGC